GCATCTTGGTTATGTCTACCAATCACAATAAATCATGTGGCTTCATATCATACTCTTAAACATCCGCTGCAGTTGTCATGTCATGCATATCTTGACGATTTTTTATTATGAAGTACTTTGGAATTTATTAAGCCATATCAATCACTTAGCAGTCTTTCATAATGTGTAGTTTAGAATATGTTCAAGCCTGTGATTATTTCATATACTAATCTGATAAGATAGAAGGGTTTCTGTCGAATCATAATTAAGACTGTCCGTTAGTATGTTCTGTATCAGATGTGTTCATACCATGCCTATTATAGATTTATGAACTGCAAGTAAGCGATGAAGTGTCGAGCTGATGATCAATACTCTTGGTTCCTCTGGCAAACTTTAGTCTGCGTCATGTATGTATGCAGGTGGAGCCTATTTTTTTTTTTTTTTTACCTAACTGTGAGAAATGACGTATACGTTTTAAGTTCTTTTTTGTAGATTATTTTAAAGGTCTGGAGGTTAGAAATTATTACCGCTATTATAGATGTACGGATGTAAGTTGTCTGTTGTAATTGTCTTATGCAGACTTGGCGCTGAATCTCTACGTTGCCACTTTTATTGAAGTTTTAGGGAATATAACTCATTAAATTATAAATTACAAGCGTAGTTATCTTAGAAAATGATACACTATTCGGATACCTAGTTGCTGCTTTTGTAGGAATGGAGTTTGACTCGTATTATTGAACTTCAGTGGGAGTGATCCCATAAAAGCAACCGTAAATCGCGCATGCTGTGATTTCCTAAAAACTTTTGTTTTACGGGGCAAAAGGCTGGAGAAATGCGGATAATATCTTTATCAATAGCAGTATTGGCGGTAGTGGTAGTAGTAATGATAGTAGTAGTAGCAGCTGTAACAGTAAGTGTCGCGTGGTTTTCACACCACTACAGTCCTGGCTGGCCAGGTGAAAAAGGCTTCTGTGCATTCATATTCGCCGAGAATTCAGCTGTCACCCTCGTCTGGAGCCATGCCAGGGCTAGATAGTCCATATCCTGCCGGAGACATATTTGCTTAGGATAAGCGCTGCCGTTCTGATCTCCTTTTGGTCTGTTCTCGGTTTATGTTTCTGATGATTTGTGACCGTGCTTTTTTTGTTTTCTTTTTCCTTCACTTTCTTTCTTTGTGCAGTTCTGTAGATGGTTCCGATATGTTAGACTTCAAGTCCAAGCACCTAATGTATTTGTGTCCCTGGGTAGAGTGGTGTCTGTTTCTTATATTACATATCCTTGATAGTTAATTACTTGATGATCTACATAACAAACTCTTGGGAAACATGCATTTGCTGAACATGGTTGGCGTCACACCATTTTTATTTTTTCCATTTTTTTGTTAATGTTCCCGCTGATATTTACATAAGTGTAGCGACTTCCTTTCACGAGAAAAGATATGGTGATTTTTAAATGATCTCTCTTCAACATACGATATCGTAGGCGGTGTGTGATAGGCTTCGTTTTTTTTCCTGTTTGTATCCGACTACTAGTGATGTGAAGAAAACAAGGGTCTGTTCTGATTTGTTATAGCAAGGTCTGAAGATGTATTTTTGTTATATGCATGTGAGGAGGGGCTTAAACGCAACTTTGCTTAGATATTAGCCAGTAACTTGCTGGGCCGTATCCAGGTTTACCAGATTTTAGAGATGCTAAGATTCTTGCAATTTTCCACATCATCAGACAATCTCTCTCTCACTCTCACTCTCTCTCTCTCACTCTCTCTCTCTCTCTCTCTCTCTCTCTCTCTCTCTCTCACTCTCTCTCTCACTCTCACTCTCACTCTCTCTCTCTCTTTCTCTTTCTCTCTCACTCACTCTCTCTCTCTCTCACTCTCACTCTCACTCTCTCTCTCACTCTCTCTCTCTCTCTCTCTCTCTCTCTCTCTCTCACTCTCACTCTCATTCTCACTCTCTCTCTCTCTCTCTCTCTCTCTCTCTCTCTCTCTCTCTCTCTCTCTTTCGCTTTCTCTTTCTGAACAAATGTTGAGATATGTATTTGTGATCTGTGCATCAGATTATCTGTTCGGTTATCAGTGATGACGTGCGAGTTTCCTGGCATAGCACTTCCTTTCCTTTCACAAACGAAAAGTTTAAGTAGTTGACAGGTGTCAGCGGCAAGTTTATCAGGTATGACTGATGGGGCAACCGAATCTTTATTTATCTATGTCTTTATCTGCAATCAGTCTCACTATCTCTTCCTCTCTCTCTCTCTCTCTTCCTCTCTCTCTCTCTCTCTCTCTCTCTCTCTCTCTCTCTCTCTCTCTCTCTCTCTCTCTCTTCTTAATTGAACAAAATCTAATTCATAAGTCTGCCATAGCATGGTAAATAATTTTTTGTGGAGCATATATGTTGTAGTATTGACTGAAATTTTTATCGGATTAAGCGGCTGTGCGGAATATGAGCGTTTGATTCATAGTGAAATACAATAATTTATTACTTATTTCCTGGATATTTACATTGTTTTGATTTTTCTATTACAGACTGATAGGAGGTATCAGCGTGGGAGATGCCGCCGCGATAACGTTAAATCAAATAGTTTTGTTGATACTGTATACCAGAGGGTTTCAGAATGGCGGCTCGCCTCAGCAAAGGAAGTTCTGTCAGCGACGAAGAGTTCTACGACAGCGTTGACTTCATTCCGGAGACTCACACACGAACCGAAACGCACGGGCCAAGGGACGTTGTCGACGACCTGGATAACGCGGTGTTCCTGGAAGGGGAAGGGGCGAGCACAGAGAAGGGGGCTGAAGAGGTCGTGGACTGCGCCATGCACCCCGCGGCCGACGCAGGTAGGGTCGCCACGGAAAACGACGGGTTGGAAGCTGGCAAGGCAGTAGGGCAACCAGAGTACACAAATCTGGCGGCACTAGAAACGAAGAACAATAATAAGAATAAAGATATAAAAGAAAAGAAGAAAAAGAAGAAAGGGAACGCTCAAGACAGGGCGAATAAATTAAATAACAATGCGAAAGAAAACTCGGCTGCTTCCGAAACCTTAGCCTCGGCTTCAGCTTCGGACCCAACTTCACATCCTCCATCGAAGAAAATGACCAAGAAAAACTCGATGCTGAAATGGTCGGCGGCGGCGCGGGAGGTCATAAACACCGCGATGTCACAGGACGACGCTGACCACAACAGGAGATCGTCGAGCGGGTCGAGCACATCAAGCGTGGAGAGGAAGATATCTGGCTCGGCCATCCTCGAGGACATCGCGCAGGTGAGCAAGGGGCGCCCGGTGCCTGGGTGTCTTCTGCCGTTTTCTGGAGTAGGTGTACGATACGGGGTATTTGGCATATACTTAGAAATGGCCTTGTTTAGTTTAAAAAAAAAATAGTACGTAGCCTAATAGAATAATGATAATGTACTTTATTCCTTAAGCTGAGTCACAATAAGGATAACCATTTCTTGTCATGATATAACAGAGGATGGAATATGAAATCAATTTTATTCGCCACTCTTAGTCTTACTGTGGCCAGTTTTCGAGTCCACGAACTGACTAAACACTTCTCCTTCAACCAGGGTAACTTGGCAAGTTGGGACGCCGAGACTTGCGTGGCACTTCTGCGCATGCCCACCGTGTCCAACTACTCCGGCCTCAAGAAGCTCATGGAAGTGGTAAGTCCTTGGCAAATAGTGATAATAGTAAGAATGACAATAGATATTATCGTAAAATACGCAGTCGATATTCGTAATGCTTAACAAAGCTATTGAGTACATGGTAGGAATCGTAAAGTATGAGAAAACATACTCAGATTTCGATCTATTTTCAATTTGAAAATTGAATTGTTTTGTGTGTGTGTGTGTTTGTGTGTGTGTGTGTAGCCTATTCACGGTTGCAATCGTAGTAAGAGTCTCACGTTTATCTGAACAGGCGGGCGAGGACTGGCTGGAGGACTTCCTCAACCTGGACGGCCTCGGTGTCCTGTTCGAGTCCCTGGAGAGGCTTAGCGACCGCGGGTTCAGCTCCATCGCCGACGCCATCCTCCAGCTAGAGTGCGTGCTGTGCGTTAAGACTGTGATGAACTCCACCTCGGGCCTCGAGTACATTATCAACAACGACGACTACACCAGGAAGCTCGCCAAGTGTGAGTGCAAATAACGTTTTCTGGCACAGACGATACACAAATAGCCCTAGTATTGTACTGAACATTCGTTTGTACAGAAATGCATAGCCTGTTTTACGTCTATCACTTTCTTTACTGAGCTTTCCTTTCTCTCTGTGTCCGAGCAGCGCTGGACTCTAGAAATATGCTAGTTAAGAAACAAGTGTTCGAACTGCTCTCCGCGCTCTCCGTCTACAGCGAGAAAGGACACGCACTTGCTCTCGACGCCCTAAACAACTATAAGGTGAGTCTTTTGCTCTTTCGAACATCAGCGATAAGATCCCTTATACTTAGTGAATATGATTAACGGTTTATTCCAAATTAATGTTCTAGCATGTCGCCTTTTCTCCATGTTTCACAATTTTACTTTCTTCTCAGGTGTTCAAGAACCAGCGCTACAGATTCCGACTGGTGGTGGAGGAGCTGGCAAGTGCTGAGGTGATGGACTACCAGGCGACGCTCCTCGCCTTCGTCAATTGCATCGTGTTGGGCGTCGGCAGCCTACAGGGCCGTGTTGCCATCAGGAACGAGTTCATCGGTGGGTACCTCACGGGTCTCTTCCTCAAGGCCCGTGTGGCTCTTAGTTGAACTGATTATTCTCAGTGGTGCTAGTCTTTCTTTTCCCATGCATGTGTGCGTAGGTATGTGTGCATAACGAAGATTTTACGAACGTCTTTACCCATTTTTTTTCTTCTTTATAATGACATGAACACCACCATCACAGGCCTGGACTTCCTGAAGGTCCTAGAAGACATCAAGCGAATAGACGACGAGCAGCTGAGCATCCAGGTGGCGGCCTTCGAGGACAACCACCTTGAGGACCTCGAGCTGCTCTACGGCCCTGAAGGCCAGCTCAGCCTCAACCACCACGACGCAT